TCGGACAGGAAATCAAGCTCGAATTGGCGGTCCTCCAAAACGTCATTGCGGAGGGCAGGAGCACCCCCGACAGACGGAGGACAGGCAGGGTCAGAGACCAGAGTGGTGGCGTAGTCAAGGCGGCGGGTAGAGGGGAAGTCGGCGACCGCAGCGACAAGAGCGTCAAGACACGAGACCGGAACAGACGGGTCGGTAACGAGAGAGGCGGGGACCCGAGGAACAAGAGGACGAGCGGCACGAAGGTAGTCAGACAAAGGAGGAGGCGCAACGGTAAGAGAGGACGGAGGAGGCGACGGTAGAAGGGGAGGACGAGACGCGTGAGAACGGAGCAACATAGGGTGAGAGCGCGTGACCGGGGAGACAGGACGAGTGCGGGAGGGACGGCAGGACCAGACATGAGACGGAGGCGTCGGGTCATGAGACAGAGGAGGGGACACAAGGGGGGAGCGAGGGGGAAGACGAGCCGGGGACGAGTCCGGCGGAGGGAACACAGGGCCGTAGATAGGAAGAGGAGGAGACGGCAGGAGAGGAACAGACGCAGGGTCAGGGGACGGAAGGCCGAGCAGGCGAAGGGCTTCCACCGGCGGGGACTGCTGCTGCGGCGGTACAACACCAACACCGGGACCGCAAGCTCCTCCTCGGCTACCTCCGGGACACTCCACTCCGGCACCCCCAGAAGGAACACCCCCAGAGCCCGAAACCCCGCGAGCACTGGTACCACCCCCAGGGCCACCGGGGCAGGCCACAACAGGAACCCCGGAACGAGCACCCACCCCAAAGCGGGCACCCCCATAGTCGACGAACTGCTGCTGCGACGGCGCCGGCGCCGGCGGCGGTAACGACGGGTGCGGCGGCGACGGCGGCGGAGACGACGGCGGCGACAGCAGAGGCGACGGCGGCTGCAGAGGCTGTGGAGGAGGAGACACCGGGGGAGGGGCAGACGGCGAGGACTGCGCCGCAAGACCACCAGAGTCAGAGGACTCCTCGACCGGGACAACCGACGGGAGAGGGGTGACGTGGGACACACCAGAGGGGGCAGGATGGGGAGGGGGAAGGGGGGGGGCAGGGACGACCGGGGAAGGAGTGACCAGGAACAGGGGGGGAGTAACAGGGGGACCGCGGTGGGGGAAGCGACGGTAGAAGGAGACGGACTCGTCAAAGGTGACGTCACCGGAGTGAAAGAACCTGTGAGACGGCGGGTGGTAAAAGTGCCAGTCGGACGCGTCAAGGGGGAAACCGAGGAAGACACAGGGAAGGGTGCGGGCAGTGAGCTTGTCCGTGCCAGAGGCACGAACGTGAGCAAGACAGCCCCAGACGTAGAACGCAGATGCGTCACCAGGAGACCCGGTCCAAAGAAGTGTCGGCGAAACCTGCGGCCGCTGGGGGTGCGCCCACAGGTTAAGCTGGTGAGCAGCGTAGCGCACGGCGAACGGCCACAGAAAATGGGGTGCACCGGCATGGATCATGGAGGTGCGAGCCACCTCCATGACCAAACCGATGCGTCGCTCAGCGACCCCATTCTGCTGTGGGGAGTCCGGCAGGGTGAACGTCTGGGTGATGCCCTCTGCACGACAGAAGCGACCAAGGACACCTGAGGCAAACTCGCCACCATGGTCGGAGTGAACTCGGTGGACACGGGCAGAGACAAGCCAGGGGATGAGAGCGTCAGGCACGTCGGCCTTGCGCTCCAGGGGAAAGACTGTGGTATAGCGAGTGAAGTCGTCGACAAGCACGAGGAAGTAGCGCTCTCGACGCGGCCCATGGACGGGGGCGGGGCCCCAGACGTCCATGTGCACGGTCTGCAGCGGCGCGGGGGTAGGGGGAAACGAGGAGGAGTGAGGGGCACGGCGAAGCCGACCCTCGACACAAGGCGTACAAGGTGGGGCGGGGGAAGAGGGAAAAGCGGGGAACGAACCAGGGAGACCAAGGACGAGACTGTGCCGAGACATGTGACTTTTACGCGGGAGCGCGGGGTGACCTAGGCGGTGGTGCCAAAGGAGAGTCGGGTGAGTGAGGGACCGACAGGAGCAGGCAGCAGCAACCTGGGTAGACTCAGCCACCTGAAGGGGCGCTCCAGCCGGGGGGGTCACGGTGTGCAGGGTGAAAAGGCCGGACACCGGGTCCCGGGGGAACGTGGACAGGGGGGCACCAGTGGCGGCCTCGGTACAGACAGCATACCGATCGTGACCAGGGAACGTAGTGGTGACGCCAAGGTCCTGGAGGCAGCCGACACCAACTATGTTCCTGGAGAACGAGGGGATATGCAGACCTGTGAGGGAGCCCGAAGGAACTGCCGGACAGGGAAGGGTCGTGGAACTGCGGGCGACGATTGGACCGCCGGAGGGGTCAGCAAGAGAAACTGCAGCAGGAACAGGAAGCGGCGTCAGCGTAGTAGAGTCGCGGAAGAAACACCGGGAAGCGCCAGAGTCCAAGGTGAAGGAAAGCAAAGAAGTGGCGTCTGGCGACGGGGCGACGGCGGAAGCACCAAGGCTAAACAAAGCAGGAGCCACTACGCCTGACGCAGCAAGGGACGCTAATCTAGGCACACCTACACTAGGCGACAAGGAATAATAAGAGGGGAGCACACTAGAGTCATCCGCATACATCACATGCAGCGCAGAAACAATGGCATCCATGTCCATGTCAAAAATCTGAACTCTACGACTAAGCAAACTGTGCCAGTCCGGGAGGTCGGGCGACGGGACGAAGCGCTGACGAAACAGGTCGTCCAGGCAACGAAAACAGCGGGCAGTGGTGTGACCGATCTTACCGCAAACGAAGCCGCGGCGAGGACCGGTCTGGATCTGGTACTGACAGCGCACGCCTCCCGAACCGCCACCCGGCACACCACCACGCACACGACCACCACCAGCTCCAGGCCACCCGGGCGGGAGGGCACTCGCCTGCCTTGTCTGTGGCGGCTGCTGTGGCTGCTGCGGCTGCTGCTGCTGCTGCGGCTGCTGCGGCGGCTAGGGCGGCGGCTCAGCTGGACCTGGCAGGGTCCCCTCGTCCACTCCACCACCAGACGACCCGGCTCCACCACCACCTCCACCTGCACCCCCACCTCCTCCGCCGCGCCCTGCCTTGGGGCGGCGGCCCTTCCCCGGATGGAACTGCGCTGCAGCGGCGGCCTCAGCCACAGCTGCAGAACCATCGGAGAAGGTGCACTGAGGGGGGGCACAACCCTGAAAGATAGGGACCAGCACAGTACCGCTCGCCTGGGCGATAGAGCGGTGGCGGGTCTCAATAACAGTCAGGGTGTCTACAAAGTCTGTGAGGGTGAGGTCACTGGGGTGAATGCTAAGGAAGCGGTCACGAGCAGCGGCAAGGCGGTCAGGGAGGTGGGTGGCATGCAGGTAGAGGGTAGAGGTAAGGGGCGGCTGGTGGGCTCTAAGCTGTGCGTCAGTGCAGGCAGCGCGCCAGGTCTCATCTAACGTGCGCAGGTGGGCAGCCAGGTCAGCGACAGTGGGGAAAGACGCACGGTCAGGAAAGAGCATCGGTAGGATCAGGCGACACACTGAGGCAGCAGGTGGGGCGGAATAGCGCCGGATAATAGCATCTAAGAAAGCCTGGGCGGTGGTGATAGACCTAAAGCGAGGGAGCTCAGACGGGGGGAGGGCATTACTAATGGCAAGCTATGCGACAGCGTCACGGGAAAGCCAAACAGAGATCGAGCGAGGGCAGCGGCCGCAGTAGACTCGCGCTCAGCATGTGTGGGGTCAGCGGGCAGCACAGCAGGGGGGTCTAGGCAGGGAAGCGTATCGTCAAGGTGTGCCGAGAGCGAGTGGCCATCCTGCCGCTGACCAGTCAGGTGGCGGCGAAGGTCGGCTAGCCACGCCTCGAACTCCAGAGGCTGGCCTTCACCGTCGAAGTGAAGCTCCGCCGCCATCAGGAACAGTGCAGGGCAGGGCCAGGTGACGCAGTGTAGCGTGGTACAATGCAGTGCGATACAGCGCAGTGCAGTGCGGTGCAGTGCAGTATAGTACAGTGCAGTGCGGTTCAGTGTGGTGCAGCGCGGTACTGTGCGGTATAGTGCAGTGTGAGGTGATGGAGAACCGTACTAGGGAGGGTGCAGGGCAGTAGCAGCATGAAGAGCGGGCCGCACGCAGATCGGCGGCAGTCCGGCGGGAAGATGTGCACGGGGCCGGAGGGCGACGGGCAAGGCGCGCGCCGGGGTTGGCAGAACGGGCGCAGGGGCCAGTAGCGGCGGGCGCCGGGCCGGCGAGGACGGGCGCGGGGCCTGCTAGGACGGGCGCGGGGGCCTGTAGGACGGGCGCGGGGGCCTGGAGGATGGGCGCGGGGGCCGCTAGGATGGGCGCGGGGCCGGCTAGGACGGGCGCGGGGGCCGTTAGGACGGGCGCGGGGCCGTTAGGACGGGCGCGGGGCCGGCTAGGACGGGCACGGGGGCCGGTAGGACGAGCGCGGGGTCGGCTTGGACGGGCGCGGGGGCCACTAGGACGGGCGCTGGGTCAGCTAGGACGGGCACGGGGGCCGGTAGGACGGGCCCGGGGGCCGGTAGGACGGGCGCGGGGGCCGCTAGGACGGGCGCGGGGGCCGTGAGGACGGACGCGGGGGCCGGGAGGACGAGCGCGGGGGCCAGCTAGGACGGGCGCGGGGCCGGCTAGGACGGGCGCAGGGGCCGACAAGGACGGGCGCGGGGGCCAGCTAGGACGGGCGCGGGGCCGGTAGGGCGGGCGCGGGGGCTGGTAGGACGGGCGCGCTGGCGCAGCTAGGACGGGCGCACTAGGTAGGGCGGCTAGGGCGCGGCTAGAGCAGTCGACTAGGACGGGCGCGGGGGCGGCTAGGTCCTAGAGCGGAAGCGTGAGCGGGCGGCGGGACCTACCTACTGCTGATACCATCTTAGAACTGAATAATGATTCAGTAGTGAGAGAGTACAAGTGAATATACCTAAGTGTTGTACCCTCTAAGAGGTGACCCTACACAGTCTATGCAAACATAAGAGATACACATGTTTGACATTTAATTCTTGTTTTCAATATTGGAGCTGTCAAAGATTTCAAATGGTTGTGCACAACTTTACAGCGCGTAGTGCATTCATGAGCAATTTATACTGCGCGTCGTGCTCCAGCTATGCAGTGAAGCACCAAAGCAGGGGGGGCATAGTGTATCAAGTCTGTTAGTGTGCATACAGCCCTGCCCCCAGAAAGCTGCTTTGGTGTGGCATCACTCTGCTAAAGCTACTCCTGGTCTAGTCCTCCTGTTGCTGCTCGTCTAGCGACTGCTTCTGCTGCTGCTTCTACTGCTGCTGCTGCTGCTGCTGCTGCTGCTGCTGCTGCTGCTGCTTCAGTCGCTGCTGCAGGTGTCACTGCAGCTGCCGTGGCTTCTCCAGAATCCACCGTTATTGCATTGCTGGGAGAGACGCCAGCAGAGTTGCCACCTGGCTGGTTCTGCCTATCATTGTCAGGTGTGGTTACACTCTGAGCCACTGTAGCAGGTACATCGGAATTAAGTGCAGCTTTAAGTTTCCCGCCCGCAGCGGCTGAATCTGCTGCATGCAAATCGGATCCAGGTGCAGTGGTAACTGTTGTAACAGGTAATTCTGTAGCAGGGGGATTTGCAACTGTTTCGTTTGTAGCAGCTGCGCTCGTAGCAGCAGCAACGTCAAGTGTACCAAAGGTCACTGTAGGAATTACTGTAGATCCAGCAGCTGCTGACGATGCCTTCAGGTTTTTCTGAGGTGCCTCCCTGCCACGCCCTGCTCTCCCATTGGCCGTGTGCAGACCAGTGCTTCTGATCTGAGCCTCTAGCAGAGTGACACGTGTGTCAATATCCACCAATCGGCTGCTTCCAAAGGCCAACGAATAGGTGACCGATGTAGACAGAGAAGTCACCAATTCATTGAAGGTGGGGGGGGGAGGAGTGAGTGGGAGGAGTGGGAAAGAGGAAGAAGAGTAGTTATGTGGAGGGGAGAGAGGGGGCGGCTGGGATGGAAAAGGAGAAGGCTAAGCTACGAACCTAACAGAAGATTATTGGTAATAGATTTCATGCGAGAGGTGCAAGAGGTACGCATGAAACGAACGCTCGGTTCTTCTAATGCTGCCAACATACATGCCAGCGAGTGCGGCTACTAAGGGCAGCGGTGAGCGCCGGCGTGGGAAAGGGGGCCGGATTTCCTCCTGGGATCACTAAAAGCTCCCCCCGAAGAAAAAAAAAAAAAAAAAAAAAAAAAAAAAAAAAAAACTAAGGGCAGCGGTGGGCGCGGGCTCCATGGAAGGCAGGTGACTGAGAGCGTGCAAGGCTGCTTACAGGTGAAGCGAGTGGAGCTTGGACTCGCAGGACGCGGCAAAGGCGTTGAGCAGCTTCACTGTTCGGGCAACAAAAACATTCACCTGCCATTACCCGTGAACATAAAAATTGGAGCATAATGACCGGGCGAGCTCTACAGTAGGCTCGAGCGTTTTTAACGAGGAAACCTCTCTCTATCCGACGAAAGAACATGGGAGCAGAGGGGAGCGCGCGGCAGTTAGGGCTGTGAGGGGGAGAAACGTGCGAGGATGGCCAAGGTGGAAAGGAGAAACGGCGGAGAGTAGGAGACAAGAGCAACGTGCGCCGCAAATGGTACACATAGAACCAGACGGCGTATCACGCACCTAGGGTAGCTCACTCACAAGGATCACCGTTCGTTGATCTGCGGGAGTCGCCATTGAAGCCATTGAAGAAGGAAGTGGAGGAACTTTATTAAGAAATGGTATAATAATATTTTAAGACGCTCTGTAGCGTGAACCGATCGTCAGTTGACGGTCGGAGTTCAAATCCCGCTGGCAGTGATATGAATTCTCCGACGGAGTGGATGATCCACAACCCGTCGTCCGCCGAAGGGTTAGCTCCTGTCTGGCAAGGCAGGCTGACGAGGAGAGGAGAGCAATATGAGCCACACTTTTGCTCAGGCACCTTCTGTTACGGGGTGTATGAAGTGAAACCGAGAAAGACATCGAAATGCCAACTCCCGAGGCGCGAACTGGACACGCACGCTCGCTGACAGTCATTCACTTCTGCTGCTTCATGCCTCACTGCAATAGGTTTTGAAATACCTTTTACAGCCTTCCCCTGTGCCTACTCATGCTTGCTCCCACTCATCATCTCACATTCATTCCCCCCTGCTGCTTCATGCCTCACTCCCTCGGCTCCTCCCTACTCCCTCCCGCCCATTTCGTCACTGCCGTCACTCCTTTGCGCATGCCTGCATGCTCTCACCGTCTTATTCCCGTGTCATCTTCCCCCTCCTTCTCACACCCTTCCCTGTTATAAGTCTCACTTCAAAGCCCCTTCTGACACTTTTGCCTCTCCATTTGCCTCTCCATTCGCATCTCCATCTGTCAAACATATATTTTGTACATGTTATAGGCTAGATAGGTGCATACTTATATAGAGTACAACACCTTAGGTTATCTTCACATGTACCCATCTTTCTAGTCACCTTTTTCTACTCTGAGGGAAGGGTGGTGGGGGTGGTGGAGGTGGGAGCGGAGACGGTGGTGTAGCCGAGGGGACTGGGGCTGGTGCCCCGCAGCAGCAGCAGCCGCCTCAGCAGCAGTCGCAGCAGCAGCCGCATTTGCCGTGGGGACCCCCGCCACCGTGGTGGCCTGGCGGCGCTGGTGGAAGTGGTCGTCGTGGTGGGGCGCGCAGCTCGGTGTCGGGTGGCGGCTTAAGTGTGGTCACCTGCGAGTACCTGCTTCATTCAGGCCCCCGCCACGGCACCGTCTGCGACCGTCCCGGGCACACTGCCGCCCACTTCTATCGCCGCCTGGACGACCTCTTTCGTCTCCGACGCCGCCGTCGCAACCGCAGCAGCAGCAGCCGCAGTCGCCGCCGCTGCAGCAGCAGCCGCCGCAGGGGTCCGTGGGCTCTGGGGGTGCGGGCATTCACCAGCTTTACCTGTGGCCCCACTCTCAGTGGTCGCAGGTTTCCCAGACCCTCCTTTGGACCGGGTTCCCTGGTGACGCGTCTGCGTTCCACGTCTTGGGCTGCCTTGCTCGCGTCGGTGCCTCTGGCACGGACAAGCTCACCGCCTGCACTGTCCCCCGTGTCTTCGTTGATTTCCTCCTTGACGCGTCTGGCTGGCACTTCGCCTCTACCCACCGCCTTGACTACGCCACCGCTCTGGTCTCTGACCATGCCCGTCCTCTGTCCGTCGGGGGTGCTCCTGCCCTTGGCAGTGTCGTCTTGGAGGACCGGCAGTACGAGCTTGTTTTGTCCGAGGCTGCGCCCAGGTGATCTCACCCTCATTGCCTTTGTCACTGCCCTGTCCAGCGCACTATCGCTCAGTCTTGCGGTACGGCCGCCGTGGTGGCCTGGCGGCGCTGGTGGTAGTGGTCGTGGGGGTGGGGTGCGCAGCTCGGTGTCGAATGGCGGCTCCAGTGTGGTCACCTGCTAGTACCTGCTTCATTTACGCCTCCGTCGCGGCAGCGACCGTCCCGGGCACACTACCGCCTGCTTCTACCGCCGCCTGGACGACCTCTTCTGTCTCCGCTTCGGCCCGACTGCGGACCCTCCTGACTAGTACAGCTTGCTGTGTCGCCGTGTCCTTGTTTTTTGGCTTGACATGGATTGGATTAGGCCGACTCTCTATGCCATATATGCTGATAACTCTAGTGTGACTAGACCTTATTACTCGGTGTTGCCTAGTGTAGGTGTGACCCCTGTGTGTAGTGTAGGTTCCCCTGCTGCGTCAGGCGTAGGACTACGTGCCTTGTTTAGCTTTGGCCTCTCCCACGCTCTCACCCTATGTTGCTTCGTTCCCATGCGTCTCTTCTTCCCCTCCTCCTGTCGCCTCCTTCGTCGTCACTTGCTGTCTGTCTGCCTCTCGTGTCTGACTTCCTCCGTGCCGCTAGTCCTCTTGTGCCTCAGGTCCTTGCCTCGCTTGTTACCGACCCATCTGTTCCTGTCTCTAGTCTTGACGCTCTTATCGCTGCCGTCACTGACTTGGGTGAGGGGCCTAGTTCTGCCCCGGTCCTGTACGCTGACAACAGGGCCATCATCCTCCTATGTCAGGAGCCTCGACTTGAGGGCAGAGCGAAGCACATCCAGCTGCGGTACTTCTTCCTGCGCGAGCTATAACAGTGCCGCCAGGCCCGCGTAGCACACTTGGCCACAGGTGCCAACACAGCTGATATCTTTACGAAGGCACTTGCGCCTAAAGATTATCAGCGGCACTGTTCGTAGCTTAGTCTAGTTCCTGCAGACTCTCACTTGCTAGGACCCTGATTGTGTACTCCTCTTTATATATACCTTCCAGACTGGCCTTGTGGCTTCTCTTCCAGTGGCTGGACTAGTAGTGCCACCCTGGTGTGTTCTTGTCTTGTTTGTACTCTTGCTGACTGGTCTTCGGACCCCTGCCTCAGAGGTTGGACTAGTAGTGCCACCCTGAGCTGCGTGTTCCCAGCTTTGCACTGCCCATTCTCTAGCCTAGGGGGTGTGTCAATATATACATATGTTTATATGTATAAGCTATAGGCTAGATAGGCTTGTGCTCTTAGAGAGTAAATGTCCAACCCTATATCTTCCCTGTACTCTCTTCTTTCTATTCATTCTTGTATTCTAACATGTGCACCTATCTAGCCTACCGTAATCTCCCTGATATAGGACCCCATGGACTTCCGAGAAATACCTAGAAAAAATCTAGGGTGGACATGAACGCGGATGGAAGTAATTAAGACCCTTGTGCAATTATTTTACGCTGTTTTGACTTGTGTATTGCATGTACATGCGTTCTACGTAGGGAGTTCTAATTGTAACGCGGAAGCCCAGGATTCTTATCGTCAAAATTTGAAGCCACGCCCATCTTTTTGGGCAGGGGTTGACGTGGCGCGATGGATTTTTTACTGCCTTGACCCACGCACACATTGCGAAGGTCTCGTTAGGAAGGAATCCTCTGTAAATTATAGAGAAGCATATAACCTGGTGGGTCTTAAAAATAATGATGCCAAAAAATGGGTCCTCGCGGGAAATGCCAAAATAGTTGTTCCCACATCCGGATAGAAGACCCATGGACTCTCTTACCAGAGGGTCCTTTATCCGGGAGATTACGTTATAACTGTCATGTCAAACATATTTGTATGTGTCATACATGCTAGATAGGTGCGTACTCTTAGAAGGTACAACCCCTTAGACAAAACCACCATGTTTCTCTCAATCTAGTCAACTTTTCTACTCTGAGATGGTATCACGCGATAGGTTAGGTCCTCCCTGCCCACTCACGCATCCGCTCTAGTCCTAGCCCTAGCTGCCCGTTCCTAGCCGCCCTGTTGGCCCCGTTAGCGCCCTCTGGCCCCGTGCGCCCCGTTGGCCCCGTTAGCGCCCCGTCGGCCCCCTGCGCCCTACTGGCCCTGCTCGACCCGCCGGCCCGTTAGCGCCCTGCCGGCCCCGTTAGCGCCCTCCGGCCCCGTTCGCCCCGCCGGCCCGTTAGCGCCCTACCGGCCCTGTTAGCGCCCCATCGACCCCGCGCACCCCACAGGCCCCTGCTGGCCCATTAGCGCCTTGCCGGCCCTGTTAGCGCCCTCTGGCCCCGTGCGCCCCGTTGGCATCGTTAGCGCCCTGTCGGCCCCTTGCGCCCAGCTGGCCCTGCTCGCCCCGCCGGCCTGTTAGCGCCCTGCCGGCACCGTTAGCGCCCTCAGGCCCCGTTCGCCCTGCCGGCCCGTTAGCGCCCCGTTAGCGCCCCGCTGGCCCCGTCGTGCCCGGCTGGCCCCGTAGCGCTCCGATAGCTCCGTGCGGCCCGATGGCCCGTTAGCGCCCCGTCGGCCCCGTTTGCGCCCCGCCGGCCCAGTGCGCTCCGCCGGCTGCGTCAGCGCCTCGCTTGCCTGTGCGCCCTGCTGGCCCCCAGCCAGCCGGCCCCTCTCCAGCCGACCACCGCCCCAGCGGCCAGCAGCCGCCGCAGCGTCCCGCTGCCGCCCCCCGATCTTCAGGCGTTGGCTCCCTTCAGCACCGTCTCCCCTGCCGGCTGCCCCCACCGCTCTCCTCCGCACTCCACCGTCCCCTATCGCACTCCACCGCTCTCCACCACACTCCACCGCACTCCAATGTTTTCCACTACTCTCCACTGCTCTCCACTGCTCTCCATTGCTCTCTAGTGCTCTTCTCCGCCTTTCCTCCTCACCCTGTCAGTGGCAGTCCGCAACTGCAGCAGTGGCGATGGCGGAGTCCCAGCTTCGTCTGGACGCGGAGGGTCGGGCGATAGACTTCGAGGCGTGGCTCGTCGACCTCCGCCGCCACCTTATAGGTCAGCGCCAGGACGGTTACTCCCTGGCTGTCCATGTTGATGGCCTGCTTCCTAGCCCCCCTGCACCTGTTGCCCTCCCTGATTCCCCCACCACTGCTGAGCGTGAGGCCTTTTCCGCTGCTGCGCTCTCTCGTGCCGTCTGGGACTCGCGCGACGAAGTCGCACAGCTTCCTATCAGTCACGCGCTCCCGCTGTCTGAGCGTCCCCGCTCTACCACTGTAGCGAATGCTTAGGCCTTCTTAGACAGAGTCACTGAGCGCCAGCGATAAGGCGCAACCTCGGACAAAACAAGCTCGTACTGCCGGTCCTCCAGGACGACACTGCCAAGGGCAGGAGCACCCCCGACGGACAGAGGACGGGCATGGTCAGAGACCAGAGCGGTGGCGTAGTCAAGGCGGCGGGTAGAGGCGAAGTGCCAGCCAGACGCGTCAAGGAGGAAACCAACGAAGACACGGGGGACAGTGCAGGCGGTGAGCTTGTCCGTGCCAGAGGCACCGACGCGAGCAAGGCAGCCCAAGACGTGGAACGCAGACGCGTCACCAGGGAACCCGGTCCAAAGGAGGGTCTGGGAAACCTGCGACCACTGAGAGTGGGGCCACAGGTAAAGCTGGTGAATGCCCGCACCCCCAGAGCCCACGGACCCCTGCGGCGGCTGCTGCTGCAGCGGCGGCGACTGCGGCTGCTGCTGCTGCGGTTGCGACGGCGGCGTCGGAGACGAAAGAGGTCGTCCAGGCGGCGATAGAAGTGGGCGGCAGTGTGCCCGGGACGGTCGCAGACGGTGCCGTGGCGGGGGCCTGAATGAAGCAGGTACTCGCAGGTGACCACACTTAAGCCGCCACCCGACACCGAGCTGCGCGCCCCACCACGACGACCACTTCCACCAGCGCCGCCAGGCCACCACGGTGGCGGGGGTCCCCACGGCAAATGCGGCTGCTGCTGCGACTGCTGCTGAGGCGGCTGCTGCTGCTGCGGGGCACCAGCCCCAGTCCCCTCGGCTACACCACCGTCTCCGCTCCCACCTCCACCACCCCCACCACCCTTCCCTCAGAGTAGAAAAAGGTGACTAGAAAGATGGGTACATGTGAAGATAACCTAAGGTGTTGTACTCTATATAAGTATGCACCTATCTAGCCTATAACATGTACAAAATATATGTTTGACAGATGGAGATGCGAATGGAGAGGCAAATGGAGAGGCAAAAGTGTCAGAAGGGGCTTTGAAGTGAGACTTATAACAGGGAAGGGTGTGAGAAGGAGGGGGAAGATGACACGGGAATAAGACGGTGAGAGCATGCAGGCATGCGCAAAGGAGTGACGGCAGTGACGAAATGGGCGGGAGGGAGTAGGGAGGAGCCGAGGGAGTGAGGCATGAAGCAGCAGGGGGGAATGAATGTGAGATGATGAGTGGGAGCAAGCATGAGTAGGCACAGGGGAAGGCTGTAAAAGGTATTTCAAAACCTATTGCAGTGAGGCATGAAGCAGCAGAAGTGAATGACTGTCAGCGAGCGTGCGTGTCCAGTTCGCGCCTCGGGAGTTGGCATTTCGATGTCTTTCTCGGTTTCACTTCATACACCCCGTAACAGAAGGTGCCTGAGCAAAAGTGTGGCTCATATTGCTCTCCTCTCCTCGTCAGCCTGCCTTGCCAGACAGGAGCTAACCCTTCGGCGGACGACGGGTTGTGGATCATCCACTCCGTCGGAGAATTCATATCACTGCCAGCGGGATTTGAACTCCGACCGTCAACTGACGATCGGTTCACGCTACAGAGCGTCTTAAAATATTATTATACCATTTCTTAATAAAGTTCCTCCACTTCCTTCTTCAATGGCTTCAATGGCGACTCCCGCAGATCAACGAACGGTGATCCTTGTGAGTGAGCTACCCTAGGTGCGTGATACGCCGTCTGGTTCTATGTGTACCATTTGCGGCGCACGTTGCTCTTGTCTCCTACTCTCCGCCGTTTCTCCTTTCCACCTTGGCCATCCTCGCACGTTTCTCCCCCTCACAGCCCTAACTGCCGCGCGCTCCCCTCTGCTCCCATGTTCTTTCGTCGGATAGAGAGAGGTTTCCTCGTTAAAAACGCTCGAGCCTACTGTAGAGCTCGCCCGGTCATTATGCTCCAATTTTTATGTTCACGGGTAATGGCAGGTGAATGTTTTTGTTGCCCGAACAGTGAAGCTGCTCAACGCCTTTGCCGCGTCCTGCGAGTCCAAGCTCCACTCGCTTCACCTGTAAGCAGCCTTGCACGCTCTCAGTCACCTGCCTTCCATGGAGCCCGCGCCCACCGCTGCCCTTAGTTTTTTTTTTTTTTTTTTTTTTTTTTTTTTTTTTTTTCGGGGGGAGCTTTTAGTGATCCCAGGAGGAAATCCGGCCCCCTTTCCCACGCCGGCGCTCACCGCTGCCCTTAGTAGCCGCACTCGCTGGCATGTATGTTGGCAGCATTAGAAGAACCGAGCGTTCGTTTCATGCGTACCTCTTGCACCTCTCGCATGAAATCTATTACCAATAATCTTCTGTTAGGTTCGTAGCTTAGCCTTCTCCTTTTCCATCCCAGCCGCCCCCTCTCTCCCCTCCACATAACTACTCTTCTTCCTCTTTCCCACTCCTCCCACTCACTCCTCCCCCCCCCACCTTCAATGAATTGGTGACTTCTCTGTCTACATCGGTCACCTATTCGTTGGCCTTTGGAAGCAGCCGATTGGTGGATATTGACACACGTGTCACTCTGCTAGAGGCTCAGATCAGAAGCACTGGTCTGCACACGGCCAATGGGAGAGCAGGGCGTGGCAGGGAGGCACCTCAGAAAAACCTGAAGGCATCGTCAGCAGCTGCTGGATCTACAGTAATTCCTACAGTGACCTTTGGTACACTTGACGTTGCTGCTGCTACGAGCGCAGCTGCTACAAACGAAACAGTTGCAAATCCCCCTGCTACAGAATTACCTGTTACAACAGTTACCACTGCACCTGGATCCGATTTGCATGCAGCAGATTCAGCCGCTGCGGGCGGGAAACTTAAAGCTGCACTTAATTCCGATGTACCTGCTACAGTGGCTCAGAGTGTAACCACACCTGACAATGATAGGCAGAACCAGCCAGGTGGCAACTCTGCTGGCGTCTCTCCCAGCAATGCAATAACGGTGGATTCTGGAGAAGCCACGGCAGCTGCAGTGACACCTGCAGCAGCGACTGAAGCAGCAGCAGCAGCAGCAGCAGCAGCAGTAGAAGCAGCAGCAGAAGCAGTCGCTAGACGAGCAGCAACAGGAGGACTAGACCAGGAGTAGCTTTAGCAGAGTGATGCCACACCAAAGCAGCTTTCTGGGGGCAGGGCTGTATGCACACTAACAGACTTGATACACTATGCCCCCCTGCTTTGGTGCTTCACTGCATAGCTGGAGCACGACGCGCAGTATAAATTGCTCATGAATGCACTACGCGCTGTAAAGTTGTGCACAACCATTTGAAATCTTCGACAGCTCCAATATTGCAAACAAGAATTAAAGACTTGAAAGTTGTGGAACAGTAGTATCACTCAAAGAGTAGGCTGCACTGCATCTGCATGTCATGTGTACACCAGGAAGGGTTTGGGATGGCAGAATGCAGCAGCGAACGCCCGGCCTGCATCCGTTGGTTGCGAGAAGGCGATCGCAGACGGGGTCAGCGTGCAGGCATACGCAAAGGAGCGGCTGCAGGAGGAAGAGGAAAGGAAGGGAGTAGGATGAGGGAGGAGTGAGTGTCATGCATTCGTTCCACCCCCCTTATGGAGAAGCCGGCATACGGTGGAGTGAATGTCAGACGAGGCCAGCGTGCAGGCATACGCCAAGGAGCGGCTGCAGGGGGAGATGAACAGGCGGATGGAGACGCGGATGGAGAGGCAAAGGAATATACGGGGAGGGAAATATGACAACTATTCCCCTCCCCACTACAGAGGCAGTGAAATGAGTGGTCTTCGGAATCCACACAACTGTAACTTCACACGCATAAACATGGGGGATACGTCATCATGCAAGACGGATGCACTCAGCCACGGATCTCACCTAAATGCATGCTCCCTTCCGCTCAGCATTGCGACGTCTCAAAACTCCACTAACTCCACACACATACACATGGCGATACCTCTTCTCATGTAAGACGGATGCAGTCAGCCTTGGGCCGACGACTTCTGGAGTAAGCGTACGTGTCAGCAGGTTTTTAGGCGCCTAAATAGTAGTCACCGTGTTGGATGAAGGACGCCAGCCTTGGATCTCGCATCACATGATGAGGAATCGCCACCTTGCCGTCACCTCAGCCTGCCTCCCCCATCATCTCACCCTTGCCTGGCTCCCATCATCTCACCCTTGCCTGGCTCCCATCATCTCACCCGTGCCTAGCTCCCATCATCTCACCCGTGCCTGGCTCCCATCATCTCACCCTTGCCTGGCTCCCATCACCTCAATAGCAATGACTCATCGACCGTTGCCTCAGGACGCACACCTCCACATCTCACCCACCGCATCACACCACATCTCACCGTACCGCACGTCTCACCTCAATGCTTTCATCATCTCAGTGGCAATGCCTCTTCGTCTGTGCGCCGGGTGTACCCAGATGGCCCTCACACCACACACAGCCGCACATGGTTCGCCGTCTGGATGCTCTGGCACTTCCTTCCTACCACAAGTAGCGGCGGAATCGGCATGTGGTTTGAGCGGTTTGGTGATGAGTGGTTCGGCATTGAGTGGCTGTTTAGCATAGAGAGATTCAGCATAGACCGATTCGGCATTGAGTGGTTCAGTGGAGAGGCGTTGACTTTCTGACACCCTTCTTGATGCTTCAGGAGATTCCACTGCTGCTGCTGACCCTCCTGCAGAATCCACAGCCACGGATTCTGCAGGCGACCCCCCTACTGCAGCTGCTCCTGCGAAATCGGCAGCCGTAAAATCTGCTGGCGGTCCTGTTGCTCCACCTGCTGCTGCCGAACCTCCTGCAGAATCCACTGCCACAGATTTTGCTGGCGATCTCGTTGTGGTAGCTGGTGCTACTGCTGGTTCTGTGGAATCCACAGCCACGGATTCTGTTGGCGATCGCCCTGCTGCAGGTGTTGGTGCTGCTGCTGGTGGCCCTGCACGTGCGTGCATGGCATGTGCCTTGTGGCACGGCGTGACATGCACTGAGATGGCCTGTGTCAGGGAAATGGGTTCTGCCAGCACACACCCCACTAGCTGCTTCTCACGAATGCACAGATATGCCTGTGGTTGACGGCAGTTGAAGGAGGGAAGAAAGGGGAGGGAAGAAAAAGGGGGGGGTAAGAGAGGGGTGGTATTGCAGGGGGGCGAGGTGAGTAGAGTGAATTAGCCTGTGTCGGGCAAATGGGTTCCGCCAGCACACACCCTACCAGCTGCTTCTCACGAATGTACAGATACGCCTGAAGCTGGGGTATGGATGGTGGAAGAAGGTGGGGAGGGAGGAAGGTTGCTAGGAAAGAAGGTATGCCCCACCACACAACCCACTAGCTGCTTCTCACGAATATACAGATACGCCTGGTGGAGGGGAGTTCGAGGAGGGAAGAGAGAGTGGGGAGGAGGGAGGTTTGGGTTGTGTCACCACACCCCCGACCAGCTGCTTCTCATGAAAACACAGATATGTAGCTGTGGGGGGAGGGGGGAAGAGAGAGGAGGGAGGAGGGAGGGGGGGGGGGTGGGAGAAGAGGGGGAGGGAAAGAGTTGACGTGTGAGGAGCGACATGGGTTGTCCCACCACATGCACAACTGCCCAGCTGCTTCTCATGAACATACAGACACGCCTGGGAGATTGGGGTAAGAGGAGGGAAGGGAAAGGGCTAAGAGGGGCAGTGGTGTTGCTAGGGACGATGGTGCACCTGGGCAACAAGTTCCAACAAGTTGCAACGCCACAAACCCGATCAGTAACCACAAACCGACCCAGTAAAGTCGTACCAACGCAGTAGGCTCGTACCGAGCAAATGAGCCCGTACCGTCCCTGTAGGCTCATACCGACCCACTAGGCTTGCCCCGAACCAATAAGCTCGTACCGACCCTGTAGGCTCGTACCAATCCAGTAGGCTCGTACTGACCTTTTGAGCTCGTACGGCCCAGTAAGCTTGTCCCAACTCAGCAGCCACAGTGAAGTGACACCCATGGCTCTCTCCAGCTCTCCAACCCTTAACCTGCCATCTGATTCAGTATAGCACATATGCCAGTGCCTCTCAACCCACTCCCCTTGTTGCACTCTCGCCCTTGGCGCTCATGGCACCCTCTAGCATCGCATCGCATCCTAGGGACTCCCCTCCCTGCTGATTCAACACATTGCATGTGGGAGCGCCCCCAACTCACACCCCTTCCTTCTCACCTTCCACTGCCCACTCAGCACCCACGTCGGACTGACGCCCATGGCCCTCTCCAGCATCGTTGCTATCTCCTGCACCTGAGTGGATGAAAGGGCGGGGGAGCGAGGGGAAAGAGCTCGTGAAGAGGAGGGGGAGGGGAGAGAAGCTCAAGGGGCGATGCAAGTGCAAGGAGCCCATGGCCCTCTCCAGAGTCGATGCTATCTCCTGCACCTGAGTGGATGAAACATGTGGGGACCAAGGAGAAATAGGAGAGGCGAGGGATGGTCCAGAGATAAGGGTTAGCTGACGAAGGTGAGCAAGGAGAAGAAGGGAGGGAGGGGGGGAGAGGGGAGAGAGGGGAGAAGAAGGGAGGGAGGGGGGGAGAGGGGAGAGACGGGAGAAGAAGGGAGGGAGGGGGGGAGAGGGGAGAGATGGGAGAAGAAGGGAGGGAGGGGGGGAGAGGGGAGAGACGGAAGAAGAAGGGAGGGAGGGGGGGAGAGGGGAGAGAGGGGAGAAGAAGGGAGGGAGAGGGGGAGAGGGGAGAGACGGGAGAAGGGAGGGAGGGGGGGAGAGGGGAGCGACGGGAGAAGAAGGGAGGGAGGGGGGGAGAGGGGAGAGACGGGAGAAGAAGGGAGGGAGGGGGGGGAGGGGAGAGACGGGAGAAGAAGGGAGGGAGGGGGGAGAGGGGAGAGACGGGAGAAGAAGGGAGGGAGGGGGGGAGAGGGGAGAGATGGGAGAAGAAGGGAGGGAGGGGGGGAGAGGGGAGAGACGGGAGAAGAAGGGAGGGAGGGGGGGAGAGGGGAGAGACGGGAGAAGAAGGGAGGGAGGGGGGAGAGGGGAGAGACGGGAGAAGACGGGAGGGAGGGGGGAGAGGGGAGAGACGGGAGAAGAAGGGAGGCAGGGGGGGAGAGGGGAGAGATAGGAGAAGAAGGGAGGGAGGGGGGGAGAGGGGAGAGACGGGAGAAGGGAGGGAGGGGGGAGAGGGGAGAGATGGGAGAAGAAGGGAGGGAGGGAGGGAGAGGGGAGAGACGGAAGAAGAAGGGAGGGAGGGGGGGAGAGGGGAGAGAGGGGAGAAGAAGGGAGGGAGAGGGGGAGAGGGGAGAGACGGGAGAAGGGAGGGAGGGGGGGAGAGGGGAGCGACGGGAGAAGAAGGGAGGGAGGGGGGGAGAGGGGAGAGACGGGAGAAGAAGGGAGGGAGGGGGGGGAGGGGAGAGACGGGAGAAGAAGGGAGGGAGGGGGGAGAGGGGAGAGAGGGGAGAAGAAGGGAGGGAGGGGGGGAGAGGGGAGAGACGGGAGAAGAAGGGAGGGAGGGGGGAGAGGGGAGAGATGGGAGAAGAAGGGAGGGAGGGGGGGAGAGGGGAGAGACGGAAGAAGAAGGGAGGGAGGGGGGAGAGGGGAGAGAGGGGAGAAGAAGGGAGGGAGAGGGGGAGAGGGGAGAGACGGGAGAAGGGAGGGAGGGGGGGAGAGGGGAGCGACGGGAGAAGAAGGGAGGGAGGGGGGAGAGGGGAGAGACGGGAGAAGAAGGGAGGGAGGGGGGGGAGGGGAGAGACGGGAGAAGAAGGGAGGGAGGGGGGAGAGGGGAGAGACGGGAGAAGAAGGGAGGGAGGGGGGAGAGGGGAGAGATGGGAGAAGAAGGGAGGGAGGGGGGAGAGGGGAGAGACGGGAGAAGAAGGGAGGGAGGGGGGAGAGGGGAGAGACGGGAGAAGAAGGGAGGGAGGGGGGAGAGGGGAGAGACGGGAGAAGACGGGAGGGAGGGGGGAGAGGGGAGAGACGGGAGAAGAAGGGAGGCAGGGGGGGAGAGGGGAGAGATGGGAGAAGAAGGGAGGGAGGGGGGAGAGGGGAGAGACGGGAGAAGGGAGGGAGGGGGGGAGAGGGGAGAGATGGGAGAAGAAGGGAGGGAGGGAGGGAGAGGGGAGAGACGGAAGAAGAAGGGAGGGAGGGGGGAGAGGGGAGAGAGGGGAGAAGAAGGGAGGGAGAGGGGGAGAGGGGAGAGACGGGAGAAGGGAGGGAGGGGGGGAGAGGGGAGCGACGGAGAAGAAGGGAGGGAGGGGGGAGAGGGGAGAGACGGGAGAAGAAGGGAGGGAGGGGGGGGAGGGAGAGACGGGAGAAGAAGGGAGGGAGGGGGGAGAGGGGAGAGATGGGAGAAGAAGGGAGGAAGGGGGGAGAGGGGAGAGACGGGAGAAGAAGGGAGGGAGGGGGGGAGAGGGGAGAGATGGGAGAAGAAGAGAGGGAGGGGGGAGAGGGGAGAGACGGGAGAAGAAGGGAGGGAGGGGGGAGAGGGGAGAGACGGGAGAAGAAGGGAGGGAGGGGGGGAGAGGGGAGAGATGGGAGAAGAAGGGAGGGAGGGGGGAGAGGGGAGAGACGGGAGAAGAAGGGAGGGAGGGGGGGAGAGGGGAGAGATGGGAGAAGAAGGGAGGGAGGGGGGGAGAGGGGAGAGACGGGAGAAGAAGGGAGGGAGGGGGGGAGAGGGGAGAGATGGGAGAAGAAGGGAGGGAGGGGGGGAGAGGGGAGAGACGGGAGAAGAAGGGAGGGAGGGGGGGAGAGGGGAGAGACGGGAGAAGTAGGGAGGGAGAGGGGGAGAGGGAGCGACGGGAGAAGGGAGGGAGGGGGGGAGAGGGGAGAGACGGGAGAAGGAGGGAGGGAGGGGGGGAGAGGGGAGAGACGGGAGAAGAAGGGAGGAGGGGGGAGAGGGGAGAGACGGGAGAAGAAGGGAGGGAGGAGGGGAGAGGGGAGAGACGGGAGAGGAAGGGAGGGAGGGGGGAGAGGGGAGAGACGGAAGAAGAAGGGAGGGAGGGGGGGAGAGGGGAGAGACGGGAGAAGATGGGAGGGAGGGGGGAGAGGGGAGAGACGGGAGAAGAGAGGGAGGGGGGGAGAGGGGAGAGACGGGAGAAGAAGGGAGGGAGGGGGGAGAGGGGAGAGACGGGAGAAAAAGGGAGGGAGGGGGGAGAGGGGAGAGACGGGAGAAGAAGGGAGGGGGGAAAGGGGAGAGATGGGAGAAGAAGGGAGGGAGGGGGGAGAGGGGAGAGACGGAAGAAGAAGGGAGGGAGGGGGGGAGAGGGGAGAGAGGGGAGAAGAAGGGAGGGAGAGGGGGAGAGAGGAGCGACGGGAGAAGGGAGGGAGGGGGGAGAGGGGAGAGACGGGAGAAGGAGGGAGGGAGGGGGGGAGAGGGGAGAGACGGGAGAAGAAGGGAGGGAGGGGGGAGAGGGGAGAGACGGGAGAAGAAGGGAGGGAGGGAGGGAGAGGGGAGAGAGGGGAGAAGAAGGGAGGGAGGGGGGAGAGGGGAGAGAGGGGAGAAGAAGGGAGGAGGGGGGGAGAGGGGAGAGACGGGAGAAGAAGGGAGGGAGGGGGGAGAGGGGAGAGACGGGAGAAGAGAGGGAGGGGGGAGAGGGGAGAGACGGGAGAAGAAGGAGGGAGGGGGGGAGAGGGGAGAGACGGGAGAAAAAGGGAGTGAGGGGGGGAGAGGGGAGAGACGGGAGAAGAAGGGAGGGGGGGAAAGGGGAGAGATGGGAGAAGAAGGGAGGGAGAGGGGGAGAGGGGAGAGACGGAAGAAGAAGGGAGGGAGGGGGGGAGAGGGGAGAGAGGGGAGAAGAAGGGAGGGAGAGTGGGAGAGGGGAGCGACGGGAGAAGGGAGGGAGGGGGGAGAGGGGAGAGACGGGGAGAAGGAGGGAGGGAGGGGGGAGAGGGGAGAGACGGGAGAAGAAGGGAGGGAGGGGGGGAGAGGGGAGAGACGGGAGAAGAAGGGAGGGAGGGGGGAGAGGGGAGAGACGGGAGAAGTAGGGAGGGAGAGGGGGAGAGGGAGCGACGGGAGAAGGGAGGGAGGGGGGGAGAGGGGAGAGACGGGAGAAGGAGGGAGGGAGGGGGGAGAGGGGAGAGACGGGAGAAGGAGGGAGGGAGGGGGGGAGAGGGGAGAGACGGAGAAGAAGGGAGGGAGGGGGGAGAGGGGAGAGACGGGAGAAGAAGGGAGGGAGGGGGGGAGAGGGGAGAGAGGGGAGAAGAAGGGAGGGAGGGGGGGAGAGGGGAGACAGGGGAGAAGAAGGGAGGGAGGGGGGAGAGGGGAGAGACGGGAGAAGAAGGGAGGGAGGGGGGGAGAGGGGAGAGACGGGAGAAGAGAGGGAGGGGGGAGAGGGGAGAGACGGGAGAAGAAGGGAGGGAGGGGGGAGAGGGGAGAGACGGGAGAAGGAGGGAGGGAGGGGGGAGAGGGAGAGACGGGAGAAGAAGGGAGGGAGGGGGGGAGAGGGGAGAGACGGGAGAAGAAGGGAGGGAGGGGGGGAGAGGGGAGAGACGGGAGAAGAAGGGAGGGAGGGGGGGAGAGGGAGAGATGGGAGAAGAAGGGAGGGAGGGGGGGAGAGGGAGAGACGGAGAAGAAGGGAGGGAGGGGGGAGAGGGGAGAGACGGGAGAAGAGAGGGAGGGGGGGAGAGGGGAGAGACGGGAGAAGAAGGGAGGGAGGGGGGGAGAGGGGAGAGACGGGAGAAGAAGGGAGGGGGGGAAAGGGGAGAGATGGAGAAGAAGGGAGGGAGGGGGGGAGAGGGGAGAGACGGAAGAAGAAGGGAGGGAGGGGGGGAGAGGGGAGAGAGGGGAGAAGAAGGGAGGGAGAGGGGGAGAGAGGAGCGACGGGAGAAGGGAGGGAGGGGGGAGAGGGGAGAGACGGGAGAAGGAGGGAGGGGGGGGAGAGGGGAGAGACGGGAGAAGAAGGGAGGGAGGGGGGAGAGGGGAGAGACGGGAGAAGAAGGGAGGGAGGGAGGGAGAGGGGAGAGAGGGGAGAAGAAGGGAGGGAGGGGGGAGAGGGGAGAGAGGGGAGAAGAAGGGAGGGAGGGGGGGAGAGGGGAGAGACGGGAGAAGAAGGGAGGGAGGGGGGAGAGGGGAGAGACGGGAGAAGGAGGGAGGGAGGGGGGAGAGGGAGAGACGGGAGAAGGAGGGAGGGAGGGGGGGAGAGGGGAGAGACGGGAGAAGGAGGGAGGGAGGGGGGGAGAGGGGAGAGACGGGAGAAGAAGGGAGGGAGGGGGGGAGAGGGGAGAGAGGGGAGAAGAAGGGAGGGAGGGGGGAGAGGGGAGACAGGGGAGAAGAAGGGAGGGAGGGGGGGAGAGGGGAGAGACGGGAGAGAAGAAGGGAGGGAGGGGGGGAGAGGGGAGAGACGGGAGAAGAGAGGGAGGGGGGGAGAGGGGAGAGACGGGAGAAGGAGGGAGGGAGGGGGGGAGAGGGGAGAGACGGGAGAAGAAGGGAGGGAGGGGGGGAGAGGGGAGAGACGGGAGAAGAAGGGAGGGAGGGGGGAGAGGGGAGAGACGGGAGAAGAAGGGAGGGAGGGGGGAGAGGGGAGAGATGGGAGAAGAAGGGAGGGAGGGGGGAGAGGGGAGAGACGGGAGAAGAAGGGAGGGAGGGGGGAGAGGGGAGAGACGGGAGAAGAGAGGGAGGGGGGAGAGGGGAGAGACGGGAGAAGAAGGGAGGGAGGGGGGGAGAGGGGAGAGACGGGAGAAGAAGGGAGGGGGGAAAGGGGAGAGATGGGAGAAGAAGGGAGGGAGGGGGGAGAGGGGAGAGACGGAAGAAGAAGGGAGGGAGGGGGGAGAGGGGAGAGAGGGGAGAAGAAGGGAGGGAGAGGGGGAGAGAGGAGCGACGGGAGAAGGGAGGGAGGGGGGGAGAGGGGAGAGACGGGAGAAGGAGGGAGGGAGGGGGGGAGAGGGGAGAGACGGGAGAAGAAGGGAGGGAGGGGGGAGAGGGGAGAGACGGGAGAAGAAGGGAGGGAGGGAGGGAGAGGGGAGAGAGGGGAGAAGAAGGGAGGGAGGGGGGAGAGGGGAGAGAGGGGAGAAGAAGGGAGGGAGGGGGGGAGAGGGGAGAGACGGGAGAAGAAGGGAGGGAGGGGGGGAGAGGGGAGAGACGGGAGAAGAGAGGGAGGGGGGGAGAGGGGAGAGACGGGAGAAGAAGGGAGGGAGGGGGGGAGAGGGGAGAGACGGGAGAAAAAGGGAGTGAGGGGGGGAGAGGGGAGAGACGGGAGAAGAAGGGAGGGGGGGAAAGGGGAGAGATGGGAGAAGAAGGGAGGGAGAGGGGGAGAGGGGAGAGACGGAAGAAGAAGGGAGGGAGGGGGGAGAGGGGAGAGAGGGGAGAAGAAGGGAGGGAGAGTGGGAGAGGGGAGCGACGGGAGAAGGGAGGGAGGGGGGAGAGGGGAGAGACGGGAGAAGGAGGAGGGAGGGGGGAGAGGGAGAGACGGGAGAAGAAGGGAGGGAGGGGGGGAGAGGGGAGAGACGGGAGAAGAAGGGAGGGAGGGGGGAGAGGGGAGAGACGGGAGAAGTAGGGAGGGAGAGGGGGAGAGGGGAGCGACGGGAGAAGGGAGGGAGGGGGGAGAGGGGAGAGACGGGAGAAGGAGGGAGGGAGGGGGGGAGAGGGGAGAGACGGGAGAAGGAGGGAGGGAGGGGGGGAGAGGGGAGAGACGGGAGAAGAAGGGAGGGAGGGGGGGAGAGGGGAGAGACGGGAGAAGAAGGGAGGGAGGGGGGGAGAGGGGAGAGAGGGGAGAAGAAGGGAGGGAGGGGGGAGAGGGGAGACAGGGGAGAAGAAGGGAGGGAGGGGGGAGAGGGGAGAGACGGGAGAAGAAGGGAGGGAGGGGGGGAGAGGGGAGAGACGGGAGAAGAGAGGGAGGGGGGGAGAGGGGAGAGACGGGAGAAGAAGGGAGGGAGGGGGGGAGAGGGGAGAGACGGGAGAAGGAGGGAGGGAGGGGGGAGAGGGGAGAGACGGGAGAAGAAGGGAGGGAGGGGGGGAGAGGGGAGAGACGGGAGAAGAAGGGAGGGAGGGGGGGAGAGGGGAGAGACGGGAGAAGTAGGGAGGGAGAGGGGAGAGGGGAGCGACGGGAGAAGGGAGGGAGGGGGGGAGAGGGGAGAGACGGGAGAAGGAGGGAGGGAGGGGGGAGAGGGGAGAGACGGAAGAAGAAGGGAGGGAGGGGGGGAGAGGGGAGAGACGGGAGAAGAAGGGAGGGAGGGGGGGAGAGGGGAGAGACGGGAGAAGAAGGGAGGGAGGGGGGAGAGGGGAGAGACGGGAGAAGAAGGGAGGGAGGGGGGAGGGGAGAGACGGGAGAAGAGAGGGAGGGGGGGAGAGGGGAGAGACGGGAGAAGAAGGGAGGGAGGGGGGGAGAGGGGAGAGACGGGAGAAAAAGGGAGGGAGGGGGGAGAGGGGAGAGACGGCAGAAGAAGGGAGGGGGGGATAGGGGAGAGATGGGAGAAGAAGGGAGGGAGGGGGGGAGAAGGGAGAGACGGGAGAAGAAGGGAGGGAGGGGGGGAGAGGGGAGAGACGGGAGAAGAAGGGAGGGAGGAGGGGAGATGGGAGAGACGGGAGAAGGGAGGGCGGGGGGAGTGAGGGGAGAGAGGGGAGACAGGGGAGACAGGGGAGAGAGGGGAGAGGGGAGAGAGGGGAGAGAGGGGAGAGAGGGGAGAGAGGGGAGAGAGGGGAGAGAGGGGAGTGAGGGGAGAGAGGCGAGAGAGGCGAGAGAGGGGAGAGAGGCGAGAGAGACGAGAGAGGGGAGAGAGGGGAGAGAGGGGAGAGAGGGGAGAGAGGGGAGAGAGAAGGGAGGGGACAAGAGGGAGAGAGGGGAGAGAGGGGAGAGAGGGGAGAGAGGGGAGAGAGGGGAGAGAGGGGAGAGAGGGGAGAGAGGGGAGAGAGGGGAGAGAGGGGAGAAGAAGGGAGGGAGGGGGGAGAGGGGAGAGAGGGGAGAAGAAGGGAGGGAGGTGGGGAGAGGGGAGAGAGGGGAGAGAGGAGAGAGAGGGGAGAGAGGGGAGAGAGGGGAGAGAGGGGAGAGAGGGGAGAGAGGGAGAGAGGGGAGAGGGGAGAGAGGGGAGAGAGGGGAGAGAGGGGAGAGAGGAGAGAGATTCCAGAAAGGAAGAGCGACGAGAAAGGGGAAATAGAGCGATACCAGAGATGAGAGGAGTCATGTTTAAGAATTCTAAAGATTGAAGCAAGTGCTGTGGATCGCTGTGCACCACTGTGCACTGCTGTGGATCGCTGTGCACGACTATGAGAAAAAAACGCACCTTAGGCAGCTGTCCCCCTGTGCACTCCGAATGGCTGATGAGCACTATCCGCCCCCCTCTGGTCCCTGCCACCTGCTGCACCACCCGCTCGTTCCGCCACCCCTGCAGGTACGCTCCGAGGCCACAGCAACGGAGAGGCGTTGACATTCATTAGGCGATGTAAAGATTGTGTCTTTGGTTGGTTGACTATCGAAAGTAATGGCAATCAACAGGACATAGCGGCCGCATTTGGTGGGCCGATTGTGTCTCATGGGGATGCAGATGATGCCGCATTACAGCTGTGTTTCTGAGGCGTCTACTACCCAGGATGGCATCTCAAGGCTTCAATGCGACCAGACTCATTCGAATGCACATGGTGACGTCGTCATCTTCTCCCAAAAACCATGCCCCTCGTTCTCCCACATACTAGCATCACCGCACAAGGGCCTGTGATGACGTCATGCGCTGCGACATCCTCCTTGAGCCCCTTGGCACACACGAACTCACACACCCTGCACGTGCAGAGTGCATTCAGACCCCTCTGTTCCCACGCCCAAGCAATGATGCCCCCTTTTCCTCTCACCTGAATCATGACAGTGACTTTTGAATCGACTTAACAGTCACCCTATTATGCCCCCTCCCCCTTCTCACCTGAATCGTGACACTGCCGCAGAACAGCCTGTGGTGGGCGTCATGCGCTGCCTCGTCCTCCTTGAGCCCCTTGGCGTACACGAACCCACACACCCTGCACGTGCTGTGCAGCAGATCCTTCTGCCCGAAGTCCAAGCAGGCCTGCACCTGTCTTCGCTGCCGCAGCGGCCGTGGCTGCTTCTGCTGCTGCTGCTCCTGCCGCGACAGCCCCTGCTGCCCTATTTTTGGAAGACTCTGAGGCTCACACAGCCCCTGCTGCTCCTGCTGCGACTGCTCCCTCTGCGGTTCCACCAGCGCCTGACGTTCCTGTTCCTGCTGCCGCTGCGGCTGTTCACGCCACTGTGGCCCCTGCTCCCTCTGCCGTTCCTGTTCTTGCTGCTGCTGCTCGAGTCTCTGGCGCTGATCGGCTTCAAGCGAGACACCCCCAACGCTGTCGCCACCCTTGCGCGTCAGCTTCGACTTCCTCAGCCGTTGGATCTCGTAGTCATCCGACAGACACGATGCTTCGCCGACTCTCGCCCTGCTGCGAGTATCTTCTGCTCGAAACCCTTGGCTTGGCGAGAAACGCAGTGTGGGAGTGCCACGTGGCCTCTCTTCAGGGCCTGACAGGGCAGGAGCCGCAACTATCTTGAGTTCAGCGACACTGGCTGCTTTCTTAGCCAACCCGAAGGCAAATCTACGTGGAACAGCTGCTGCTGCAACGGTTTTTTTGGTTGTGAAGTCGCGCCCTTCAGGGGAAACGCCAGGTGAATCGCCAGCAGAACGGCCTGCAGTACAGCTGCCTCGAACTGGCCGGAACGCATTCCTGCCCCTGAGGGTGGAAAACAGTCGGAATGAAATTTATCTCTGGAAAATATTTTTCAAGCGAACTAAGAATAGAATAGGGCAATGGGACCTAACAGACAGGGCTCCTCGATAACTGGACGAATGAAAGAGGTGAATGAGGAGAGCCAGTCGGTAGAGGAGAACCCGGGTTTGTTGACTCCTCCCGCACCTGCCGCCGTCAACCATCAATCATCCGCCAACAGACAAAGTTCAGCCGCCGTCTCCGCCCTCTCACACGCCGTTGGTCATCACTTGTCCCGCCGTTTGCTTTCACCCTCCCGCCGTCCGCCTTCCGACGCACTAAACCGCCGTCGGCCGTGACTCATCCGTCCTCAGCCTTTGAGGCACCTCAAGGCAAACTCACCCGCCTTCAGCCATCACCCCCAGCCGTCAGTCATCCCGCCGTCAGCTTTTGAGCCACCTCATTTTAATTCACCCGCCGTCAGCCATCGCACATCCGTCATCAGCTGGCTCAAACTAAACTCACCCGCCGTCAGCCATCACTCGACGGAGTCTCCGGTAAGTGACAACGCCTGCCGTCGCTCCAATCCCTTCCTGGCACGTGGAAGTTGGTGGCGAGTCGATACAACGATCGTCGGAAGGACGAAGTAACTCGCGAGTCGAGTCGAACGGGAGTTCAAGATGGGACAGTTGAGACTTCACAGACGATGATTCAGACGTATCCGGACATCTCCTCGAGGCGGCCGTGAATGGAGCCGGTCCAAGCGGAAACGATCTTCGATCTTCACTAGGATAAGCGCCTTCGCAGCCTTCGCCGCCTTCGCAGCCTTTACCGCCTTTACCGCCTTCCGCGAGCGAGGTATGACGCTGCGACGGCTCCAACTGCGGGACGTGGACATCAGTCGGAACAAAGCGGCCCGCGTCATCCAGGAGATTCGATCTGAGCGCCTCATCCGATGAGTCGCTCTGCGCTGCCGGGCATGCGGTTGACGGCTTGAGTCGCTTCAACCACGAGTCGAGAGTCCCGCGCCGTTTGACCCTCGTTGCATCCTTGGACGAGTCAACGCCCGGTTCACACCGATTATCCCCCGCATCCTTGGATGAGCCCGAGCTCGACGGGTCGAGGGCCCCACGCCTACTGGTTTCCCTTTTCTTTCCTTTGGCGGCGCATACGGAGGATGAATTGAGGACCCGCTCAGGAGTATGATTCTCCAGAGACTCTCTGTCGTCACCGTCTAAGCGCCGGCACACGACAAACGACATGACGCTGCTTCAGAGGGGACGATCGACTCGGACTCGGACGCACGTTTTTTATTTATTTCTGTAACCTAGACAGGACTGGGGAGAAATGCGAGCCCTGGTGAGTCTGATGTCTCACTTTCCGAGCCGCTCGACATCCTGACCGGCCCGGCAAAAACAGGGGACTGGGGAGGTCTGCCTCAGGAGGAAACTAGACCTTGCTTGAAGCGCTTGATACGTCACGCAACGACTAGTTATATGTGGAACTGATTTCGGCCAACTATTCGTGTACTTGCGATGTGGTAATAACTTCGGCACTTCCTCGAAACTCTCGTGAAACTTCCGACAGTGACGGACGGCGGCCTTTAAGAAAACGTTTCGTTTTGTCAGAGACTGTTAGCCCAGAATTGTTGCACGCTGAGGTCACAAACGAGTGCCTGCCAGGCGACGCGAATGCGCTCGATAAGATTCTATAGGATGTACCACCTCTGAAAGAGCTAGAGAGTACACCTAAGTAAGCTATCAAGGACCGCACGCCATAGAACGTAAATGTGGCTGACTAGTCCATTCGTTCTAAGAAGACGAGTGACAAGCAGCAGATGCTCTTAGGGACCAGCAGCACAGGAGGTTGTTGGGGACAGTCTGCGTCAGAAAATTGGTCACGCAATGCTCTGCCCTGGAGGCCTTCATAGCGGTGCGAATTCATAAAATTGAAATGCAAACCCGTTTGTGGAACCCGTTTGCGCGTAGAACAGTTTTGCGCACATTCTGTCACTCTGATATTAGGCGCAAACAGCTAGAATCGAACTTTGGTATTACAAAAAGGAATACAATCGTGTAATAATGAGACGCCAACAACGAGCATCGAATATCGATAGCAGCAAGGAAAACAATACAATGAGGCAACATAAAAACAACCGAGAGCTAGAATATAGCTAAGTCTGGAGGGTTGGAGCACACGGTCAAGGCTTCGCAGAGCTCAGACGTGTGGTTGCAAATTAGCGCGGAGCGCGCATATTGGCAAAAAACTGTAAGCGAACGAAATGCATGTAGCTCGTCAAAGGGCCACATTTAGGTGAATCAGTTTGAATTGTGTGGCAGAGCTGCGCGGCAAGCAGGGTTATGGCAGTGTATGCTTTGTCAAACATAATGTGTATATGTCTTATAGGCTAGATAAGTGCGTCCTCTTAGAGGTTACAACCCCTTAGACAAAACCACCTTGTTTGCCTCATTCTAGTCATTCATTCTAACTTTAACATGGTATCAGTGCCGGTGTCCGCCCTTCGCCTCCTCCTCGGTCTTCCCTCCTCTGACTGCCCGCCTGCGTCTTCCCCGCCACCGCCTTCCCTGCCTGTCTACGGCCCTGTGTTTCCTCCGCCGGACTCGTCTCCGGCTCGTTTCCCCCCTCATTCCCCTCCTGTGTCTCCTCCTCTGTATACTGACCTGACGCCTCCGTCTCACGTCTGGTCTCGTCGTCCCTACCGTGCTCGTCTTGTCTCTCCTGTTCAGCGCTCTCACCTTATGTTGCTTCGTTTCCACATGTCTTGTCCCCCCCTCCTCCCATCGCCTTCTCCGTCGTTGCTTGTTGTCGTTCTGACTTCCTTGGTGCCGCTAGTCCTCTTGTTCTTCGGGTCCTTGCCTCCCAGAAGACACCTTGGCACTCCGCAGATCGTTGAAGACAGGGGTTCAATTCTCGCCAACATTGCATTACGATGTAAAAACTTTAGACCTGCAGGATTCTATTCCTTGTGAAGTGAAGACGCGGGATTGAATCCCGCCGTAAGCATATATCAAAGTTAGAATTTGTGGAGTAGAATGAGAGTACACAGGGGTATATAGGTAGTGGGTTGTACTCTCTATGGCATGCCTCTGACAGGAAAGCAAGCTCGTACTGTCTGTCCTCTAGGACGTCACTGCCAAGGGCAGCCACACCCCTGACGGACGGAGGGCAGGCAGGGTCAGTGACCAGAGCGGTGGCATAGTCAAGGTGGCGGGTAGCGGTGAAGTTAGTGACAGCAGCAACATGGCCGACAGACTCGAGACAGGAACGGACGGGGTAGGGTGGGGAGGGGGAGGAGCAAGGGCGACCGGGGGAGGGGGGGAACTAGGAACTGGGGGGGAGTGACCGGGGGACCACGGTGGGGAAAGCGATTGTAGAAGGAGACGGACTTTTAAAAGGTGACGTCGCGAGAGTGAAAGAAACGGTGAGACAGCGGGTGGTAGAAGTGCCAGTTAGACGAGTCGAGGGGGAAACCTAGGAAGACGCAGGGGACGGTGCGAGCAGTGAGCTTGTTCGTGATAGAGGCACGAACGTGAGCAAGGCAGCCCAAGACGTGGAACGCAGACACGTCACCAGGCGACCCGGTCCAAAGGAGGGTCAGCGAAACCTGCGGCCGCTGAGAGTGCGACCACAGGTTAAGCTGGTGGGCTGTGTAGCGAACTGCAAACGACCACTGAAAATGGGGTGCACTGGCATCGACTATAGAGGTACGAGCCACCTCCATGACCACACTAATGCTTTACTTAGTGACCCGATTTTGCTGTGGGGAGTCCGGCAGAGTGTACGTCTGAATGATGCCCTCCGCACGACAGAAGCGACCAAGGTAGCCAGAGGCGAAATCGCCACTACGGTCGGAGTGAAGACGCAACACAGGGAGACCTAGGTGAACACGCGCAGAGACAAGTTATGGGATAAGAACGTCGGGCACGTCGGCCTTCCGCACGAGGGGAAACACCGTGGTGTAGCGAGTGTTGTCGTCGACAAGCACTAGGAAGTAACACTCACGACGTGGCCCATGGACGGGGGCGGGGCCCCAGACGTCTATGTGCAGGGTCTGTAATGGTGTGGTGGGGGGGAACGAGGAGTGAGGGGCACGGCGGAGCCGGCCCTCGACGCAGGGGGTGCACAGAGGCGCTGCCGAGGAGGGGAGTGCAGGGAATGACGCAGGGAGACCTAAGACAAGACCGTGCTGAGACATGTGACGGAGACGGGTGAGGGCGGGGTGACCTAGACGATGGTGCCACAGAAGCGACGGGTGAGTAAGCGACCGACACGAGCAAGCCGCAGCAACCTGGGAAGACGCTGCCACCTTAGGGGGCGTTCCAACCGGGGGGGACACAGTGTCCAGCGTGAACTGGCCAGACACCGGGTCCCGGGGGAACGTGGTGAGGGGGGCACCAGTGGCTGCCTCGGTACAGACAAGGTACCTCTCATGACCAGGGAACGTAGTGGTGATGCCGAGGTCCTGAAGAAAGCTGACACCAACTAGATTCCGAGAGAACGAGGGGATGTGCAGTCCTGTACGAGAGCCCGAAGGAACTGCTGGACTGGGGAGAGTGGTGGAACTACGGGCGAATACCAGACCTAAGGAAGGGTCTGCAAGGGCAACTGTGGCAGGGACGGCAAGCGGCGTAAACGTAGTGTGGTCCCGAAAGAAATACCGAGACGCGCCAGAGTCGAGAGTGAAGGAGAGCGCGGCAGTGGCGGCTTCGGGCGGACGAGCTAGGGTGGAGCCAAGTCTGAACAAAGCAAAGGGTCCTACGCCTGATGCAGCAAGGGAGCCTAAACTAGGCACACTGGACACACCTACGCTAGGCAACACGGGGTAATAGGAACCAGTCATACTAGAGTCATCGACATACAGCACATACAATGCAGAGCTAATCTTATCCATGTCCATATCAAAGACCCTAACACCACGGCGGAGCAGAATGTGCCACTCGGAAAGGTCCGGCGCGGGGCCGAAGCGGAGACAAAACAGGTCGTCTAGGCGTCTGAAACAGGGAGTGGGGGTATGACCGGTCTTACCGCACATGAGGCCGCGACGAAGACCGGTCAGGAGCTGGTACTTGCAGTGCCCATCACTCGCACCACCACCCGACGACGAGCTACGTGCACGACCACCGCTACCACCACCACCACCAGCGCCAGGCCACCCAGGCGGGGGGCGGCCGACCCTCCGCTGCGACTGCTGTTGCTACTGCTGTGGCTGCTGCTGCTGCTGGTGGTCAAGCTGTGGCGCCTGATACTGATCCTGCTTGGGCTGCTGCTCCGAGGCACTAGCCCCAGCCCCGTCGTCGATACTACCGCCAGCGGATGAACCACCTCCACCACCACCTCCACCCCCTCCTCCACTACCACCACCACGCCTAGCCTTGGGGCGGCAGGCCTTACTATAACGGGACTGCGCTGCGACCACCGTGGCAGCGGTCTCAGCAGCAAGGGCTGTCTCAGCTACAGCCGCAGAACCGTCAGGGTAAGTGCACTGAGCGTGAGCACGACCCTGAAAGATAGGGACCGGTGCTGTACCACTAGACTGGGCGATAGAGCGCTGACGGGTCTCTATGGCAGACAGGGTGTCGACAAAGTTAGGGAGGGTGAGGTTAGCGGGGTGTAGACTTAGAAAATGGTCACGGGAAGTGGCAAGGCAGTCAGGGAGGCAAGTGGTAAGCAGGTAAAGGGTAGAGAAGATAGGGGGCTAGAACACAAAAAGCTGGGCCTTAGTGCAGGCAGCGCGCCAGCTCGCGTCGAGCGTGCGCAGGTGTGTGGCCAGGTCAACGACAGTGGGGAAAGATGCGAGATCAGGGAAGAGCATAGGAAGGATCAGGCGGCTGGCAGAGGTAGAGGAGGGGGTGGAATAACGCTCGAAAACAGCCTCTAGAAACTCCTACGCAGTCCTGACTGACTTAAAGCGGGGGCACTCAGACAGGGGGAGGGCGTGGCTAATCGCGAGTTGAGCGACAGCGTCATGCAACAGCCAGACAACACGGGCAAGGGCAGTAGTGGCGGCGGACTCACGGTCAGCAGTCGTGGGGTCAGCGGGGAGAGCAGCAGGGGGGTCAGGGCAGGGGAGCGTACTGTCAATGTGGACGGCCAGGGAGTGGCCGTCCTGCCGCTGACCAGTGAGGTGACGGCGGAGGTCGACGAACCATGCGTCGAACTCAACTGGCTGACCCTCCGCGTCAAAGCGCAGCACCGAGTCCGTCATTAAGGCTGCTGTAGCCGCGAATAGGCGGTGAAGGGCGGGACGGAGCGACGAGGAGCAGTAGGGAGCAGTGCTGTACGGTGCAGTGCAGTGGAGTGCGGTGTAGTGCAGCGCCGCACGGTGCAGAGTGGTGCACTGCGGTAGGGCACCGTGCAGTGCGGTGCCATGCGGTGCAGAGCGGTGCAATGCGGTGGGGCGCAGTGCAGTGCGGTGCAGTAAGGTGGGGTGCGGTGCAGTGTGGTGGGGTGCGGTGCAGTGCAGTGCAGTGCGGTGCTGAGAGGTGCAGCACGGTGGTGCGCGGTGCAGGATGGTGGAAAGGGCCGGTTTAGTGAGCAGGGACCGGGAAACACGGCGGCTGAGCAGCTGGGAGACGGGGCCGCGGGGCGGCTGGGCGACGGGGCCGCGGAGCAGCGCGGCGACGAGGTCGCGGGGCGGCTGGGTGACGGGGCCACGGGGCGGCTAGGCAACGGGGCGGCTAGGCGATGGGGCGGCAGGGCGGCTACGCTAGGGGCGACGCGGCCGCGGTGCCAGCAGGATGGCTAGGCGCAAGGCGACAAGGCGACGGGGCCACAGGGCCATTAGGCGCCAGGTGACGAGACGACAGGGCCACGGGCGGCTAGGCGCTGGGTGACGGGGCTGCGGGGTCA